AACTTCAGGTTTAATTCACAATAATTTACATTTCACATCAAGACCAACAGTGGTTCTATCAACACTGCCACCTACAGGTCTGTCAAGTACATTGACAATTTTCATGGGGTTTTACAAACACCAAAACACTTACACCTATGGGTCAACAGACAAACAACATTTCACATACCAATCAGTATCCAACTACACTGCCACCTATAGGGCACTCGGCAGATCTCCAGTGCACTTGCATTTTGCAACTCCATGTTCACTGACCCCTACCATTCAATAAGACATACAACAATTCACATAGCAAGCACTATATCAACATCTGGTATAAATACATATATTATTACACAGTAGCAGACGCATCTGTATATATGTAACTGGTAATATAGTTCACATACATTTTTCACAGCACGCTGCTCCCGCAACAGACTTTCCCCTAGCAAGGGGACATACAACATACAAGGTGGGGACAGACCACATTTTCACTTGTACATACGGCACTTAATGGGTTAAGATTGATACATATTTAACCAGTATGGCTACGATGTTTAATATTTACACATCAAGTCACTTTACTTTTCACATATACTGTACGTATTAAGATAAGCTTGGTCTATGCCATATTTCCTTATGCCATACGGTTTTATCCATTCAGGTTACAGTTACTACTAAAAAACCTATACGGATTGTCGGGTTCAATACCATACTACCAGGTACATACACCTGCTCACGTAGTTATCCATCTCTTACCTTCCCTGGAATAGTAATAGTGTACTGGCAATTAGGGTTCTAGGGCCCAATAGGTATTACCCCCTTTTTTCTCTGCATTATGCTTCGGTTAGTGGTCCCGCGAGGCCAACACCCCGCCTCACACTCAGAGGCATACACCCCTCGGGCCACTCGTGAGCTAGCCGCCTCGCATTGTATCATAGAGAGGACCTCACCTGTCACTCCCCTTCCTATTTTCTGGTTACTGTCACCGAGAGGCCAACATCCTGCCACAACGTTCGGTGGCCACACAAAATCCCCTCGCGCCAAGCATAGATAGAGCCTCTCAAGCCACTTGGCAACTAGCAGGGCCTCACCAGTCACCAAAAAACAAAAAACACCAAGCCTAATCGTTTCGCCTTACGGCTTAGCTAGCAAGCCAGTACAAGAACCCTGGGTACAAATAATAATTGCAATCTTTATTGTTATTTAAGTATTTCTCAAAAAGATGGTGAAGAATCACCTCTTCCTAGCACCCCGGCTAGAATTGATACACCTTCAAGCAGAGGAGATGTTGCTAGTCCAGCAGCAATCAGATCCTGGACGATCCCACACATTACCACCGACCTAAGGAGGTGACAAATCCCCTACCCTGCTACAGCAAGGAAAGCAGTTATTCAAACTCCTCCATACATCAACGGACAACACGGAGGCAGGGGAAGGCCCAGCTACATCAACTCAGGTGACACCCAGGCTATGCTAGCTTCACTCATAAACTCATGAGCCAAAAAATTTATGACAGACTGGCAATCTCGAGTTGGTCACCACAGCCCTCACAAGGCTGGGCCTCACGCTACTGTACAACCAGCACCAACCGAAACTCGTTACCTGGTACAATCAATTCTTATGACACACAAGATGTTAAACCTGCACGTATGATCCCAGCACATTGGGGAAGCAAGGCATATATATGTATGATGATGTATCTGTGATGGTCAGATCCAGGGATTCCAGGTAAATCGGGAACTGACCATCCCTTGGTTGGGTTGGCATTTGGAATATGTGGAGATGTTTATTTGTGCAGGTACCCATACAGAAGGGATTATGTCCCAAACAAATGGACGAGCACTCTCAGGCTCCAGGTACCAGCACCTCTGAACTACCAGAGACCACTGATATGAATAGTTGCATTGCATACAGACTGTTGCATATATGTTCAAATAGTTCAGGGCACATGACAAACCATGTGTCCCAATACAACTTACAAATAATGTATTCACCATCTGTACACACCAATGCATTTTCAACACTACTGACTCATCACCCTTCCAGACTTGTAGTAGATTTACTAAAGCTCTGGAGCTTCAAAGGGCTCCCATACAGGTATCATAAACACACCTTCAAGGAATATAGCATGCCCTCACTTACAGTCAGCACAACAAACCATTGGCTGTAAACACACTCATAGCCAAGATTTGCAGAGGGGTCTTCCAATCTCCACCATTTACAGCATGGCACCAAACACACACATTGGTATTGTCACAAGGAATCTTCCCTTAAACAAAGACTAACCATAGACTTATTGGCACCACACACCTCCACTACCCCAAGTCTCAACTCCCTCATACCCTCCGCGGATTTTTCTTACTATACAACACCATTAATCTACCTTTACAGCTATCACTCAAGCATGGGTTGAAGCTTGGTTAAGTAAGACCAATATCATCAACGCAGTAAACGGCTACCATCTACCCTACACACTGGCATTTACATGGCATAAATTGGGCAATCCTTTCCCCGCTCAACTTTTGAGCTACAGATTAGCCTACTATCGATATTCGCAGATACTTTGTGCTGGTTATGATAACATATCCAGAAGCCTTACAGTCATATACTATCTAGAAGACTTCTTGTTAATCAAAGAAAGCATATTTTTCACTAGAAGCCTCACGGCAGCTTAGTCTGGTTGGCCACTTGGGCGTCCCAGTACCCCATAAGAAACAGAAGGCCAAGACACTATCTTCACATTACTGGGCATATGACTTGAGTCGGCATCCATACACGCAAGTTACCACAAGACAAATAGGGAACATTCTCAACTACATCAATCACTACCTCCTGCTTAGTACTTACAACTGCAAAGAACTACGATCCCTACCAGGTTCCTTAATTTTGCCATGCCAATCAAACCACAAGACCACGCTTTCACATCCAGAGTACTTTCCCATTTTTTCCACACTTCCAACATGACGATTAGAGGATGTCCCTAGACACCTCAGCAACAGCAGACCTGCACATGGGGGGGAATTTTTTAACCACTTGGCATGGTAAAAGAATGTTCCTTCCAGGAATGTCTGACACTTCTCCAACCAGATGGTCAGACGCAGCATCTACCATGGGTTTGGCAGCGATCTACCTGGAACAATTGCTTTGGAGCTGTTGGCGTTTGGAAATTTTTCCACCACCTCAGCCCCTTTGGGAGATCTACCCCATTGTAGCAGCTGCTGAGGCATGGGGTAAATCATGGTCAGGGTCATCAATCCGTTGTTACTCAGGCAACAAAGCATATGTCATATCATCAACAAAGGCCACTACTCATCCATAAGGTCATGATATTTCTGGGGAACTCACTTGGTTGGCCACTTATCACATTTCACTTTCATGTACCAGACGGGGGTATACATCCCTGCCGACAACTGTCTCATTTATATACCAGGCATGTTCATCATACGCTTCCTACAGCCGCCCATACAGTCACGGCCACTCTTTCGTTCCAGAGACAAAATCATGGATTAGACGTGCAGCATAGCATGCACTATCCCACCTAGCACTTTCGTCCCATACTTGTAGAACACATAACACAGCTTTTCACCTGGCTTAAAGAATCTTATTGGCACACGACATAGCTCAACCTGTGTCATAACATTTCTCCTAGATTTTGCTTCTTTTTGCCACCCTAAACTTAAACTATCTCACACACCATTAATTATATATTTTACAGGCATTCAACAACACAGGATAACCTATGGCCAAAACTACCATAACTTCATGCTATCATACCAGACAAGAATATACTCAGAGGTTTTCAGGAATCCATTCCCCCACGTTCCTCTCAGAGATTACCAATAGCAATCCAACTTTTCATCATTATCGGACCTATTAGATCTACAACCATTCAATTATACTACCAAGTCGGCCATTACCAGCTATGCACATTGCCTTTTATGCCTTTCTCAGGCCAGAGAATCCACTACCATCACCACCACTCAGACAGATCATTGTCTTCAATGATCCCACGTACGTAAACACATATATCATTACCTATTGGCTCTACCACATTCCGAAACGAGTCAACACGCACCAACAGTAGAGATAACATACTATCCTACCCACAACAAATGGTGTCCACTTTCGGTCCTAGATTCCTACCTTCAAAATCCTTTCAGGAATTAAATACTGTAATGCTTTTAAGGAAATGTCTGGTTAATTTGTATATATTTGTTGACTGTATTAAATCTTTGATTATTCATTTTTGCCCTCTTTATTTACAGGCCTACCGTATCGTCGGTCTCGGCACACCACAACCGACTTGCTCCCTTTATACTATCCTATGCTTATGTTGGATCCTTACTCCATATACGGCTATTTGCCCCTTACACAAGTATTAAGGCCGTTTGGCCTGTATTTGTGGGAGGGGCTTAAATTAATTCACTCCCCTATATAAGGGACACCCCTTACCTGACTCATATCGCTTGAGGTCAGCATCAGAATGACCCTCCCACCCACTCCTCATTTCAACACTTTCTCTTTTCTTTCCATTTACTTTACTTTCTTACTCCTTGGTGGGCCCTCTTTATTTACAGGCCTACCGTATCGTCGGTCTCGGCACACCACAACCGACTTGCTCCCTTTATACTATCCTACGCTTATGCTGGATCCTTACTCCATATACGGCTATTTGCCCCTTACACAAATATGTATATATATATATATATGTGTGTGTGTGTGTGTGTGTGTGTGTGTGTGTGTATATATGTGTATATATGTGTGTGTGTGTGTGTGTGTGTGTGTGTGTATATATATATATATATATATATATATTATATATATATATATGTGTGTGTATATATGTGCACACCAGAAAGTGAAAGTATGGTGGGTAAAAGTTTAACCTTAAAATGTCACTTGGATTGTAAGAAGACCCCTCTTGTCTTCTAAATACACATATAACAAATACAATCTAAAAATAACAACAACAAAAAATACAATAATGTAGTATTTAAAATGTGTGTGGACTTAGCAGTCTGTGTGTGTGTGTGTGTATGTGTATGGACTCAGCAGTCTGTGTGTGTATGAACTCACACAGACTGCTGAGTCCATACACACACACACAGACTGCTGAGTCCATACACACACACACACAGACCTCTGAGTCCATATACACACACACACACACACACTGCTGAGTCCATACACACACACACACACACACGCACACACAGAGACTGCTGAGTCCATACACACACACAGAGACTTAGTCCATACACACACACACACACACACAGACTGCTGAGTCCATACATACACACACACACAGACTGCTGAGTCCATACACACACTATGCGCTACACATATAGAATTAACCAGAAAGATCCTTTACCTATGGTATATGGTGCCTACACGGCTCAAACACATGGACCCTAACAGGTCAGACCTGTGCTGGAGATGTAAATCAGCACCGGGAACTATGTACCACATATGGTGGACATGCCTAAAAATGACAAAGTTTTGGGAAACAGTGAGGCAACTAATACAGGACTCAGCAGGTGTAACGATACCATTACGACCGGAAACCTACTTACTACAACTCTTTCCAAGTAACATACCAAAACCTGCAAAATACCTCTCCTATTATATCATAGTAGCAGCTCTCTCTACAATCAGCAGAGCCTGGCTCTCTGAGGCCTCTCCGGACATTAATCTAAGTATCCAAACGATACAAACCACGAAGTCATATGAGGTTATGGCTAGACTGACCAGACCCCCCAAACCGTTCTGGAGAGAGGCATGGAGACTATGGGAATCATGCCTAACCAAAAGAGGGGTAACAATCCCCACCCAAAACTCCCACTCTTCCCCCTGATATCTGAGACCCGCTCTAACTAAAGCACAAATATTTAACCACATACGCTTTCACACACAACGTTACGGCATATAAGGACGGAAAGTATCCCCCCCCCTTCCCTACCCCAACCACCCTGGGTTATCTTCCCCCTCCCCCAAGTTTATATTCATGTCTAGCATAAGAAAAAGACTCAAGAAGAGGTTACACTGCAACTTGAGTTGTAAATAGAGATGATGGGTTAAGATCGACACAATGGAACATGTAAAGATGTAAAGACGTAAATGAGAAGTTGCAAATTGAAGTTTTTGTGGACATCATTCACTTGTTATACCCTTTTGGAAACTGTATAAAAATGTAAAAAACCCTATATTGTAATAGCAACTTAAAAAGCGATACCTCTTGGACAACTAATGTATTCCGTGTCTGTAATAACCACCGCTTCTCTTCTGTAATCACTGCGCTTTCACTTATGCTCTCTTTTATCTCTTTGAGATATAAAACCAATAAAAGAAAATTATAATAAAAATGTGAGCGGCGGGTGGGGGCCATAAATTAATATGATGGGGGGACCTATTGTCCTCCCCCCTGGCCTCCACCCCTGAGCTGCGGGTGGGGGCCCTAAATTGGAATAAGGGGGGGACCTAATGTCCTCCCCCCTGGCCCCCACCACTGAGCGGCTGGTGGGGGCACTAAACAATAATAAGGGGGGACCTAATGTCCTCCCCACTGGCCCCCACCGCTGAGCGGCAGGTGGGGGCCCTAGACAAGAATAAGGGGGGGACCTAATGTCCTCCCCCTTGGCCCCCACCCCCGCACGGTGGGTGAGGGCCCTAAACAAGAATAAACTTCGGCACTTTGACACTTCGAAACTTTGGCACTTCGACACTTCGGAAATTCTGTAATTTCGGAACTTCGGGACCTTGGCACTTCGGCAATTCGGACATTCGGAAGTACCCGAATGTCCGAATTGCCCGAAAATCGTCCAGATTCATATTTGGACCAAAACGAATTGCACATGTCTACTGCCGATACCTAATGCTCCATGGACCATTTAGCCATGGATTTCATGGTGGATCTGCCCAGTTCAAATGGATTTAACACAATCCTTATGGTCATAGATTCTAAAAAATGGCACATTTTGTACCTCTTAAAAAATTACCATCTGCTCAAGATCTTGTACAAATATTTTTGAAAGAGATCTTTCGGTTACATTGAGTGGCAAAAAACAAAGTATCTGACAGAGGTACCCAATTTATTTCTAGATTCTGGCATGCCTTTTGTAAGCAATTGGGTATAGAACTTTCATTTTCCTCAGCGTATTTAACAAACAACGTTGATCTTTTGACCAGCATTCAAGTAGGTGAGCACTTGGGAAATAGTGATCACAATATAGTGTCCTTTGAAATAAACTCAAAAAAACAAAAGCACATGGGGAATACTAAAACATATAATTTTAAAAAGGCCAATTTCAATAAGTTAAGGGAAGCTTTACAATATATTGACTGGCATAAACTCTTTAGTGAAAAGAACACTGAGGATAAATGGATCATCTTCCAACAAATATTACAAAGGTACATTTCTCAGTATGTACCATTGGGAAATAAATATAAAAGAAACAAATTAAAACCAACATGGCTTAGTAGAGAAGTAAAACAAGAGATTACAACTAAGAGAAGGGCATTTAAAGCATTTAAATCGGACAAATCAGATGCATCTTATAAAAGATATAAGGATGCAAATAATGCGTGCAAAAAGGCAATTAGACTTGCTAAACTTCAAAATGAAATAATGATAGCTGAAGAGAGCAAAACCAACCCCAAAGCATTTTTTAAGTACATAAATTCTAAAAAAAACCAAAATGAAAGTGTAGGTACACTAAAAACTGAAACGGGGGTGTTAATTAATGAAGACCAGGAAAAGGCAGGAATTTTAAATAACTTTTTCTCCTCCGTATATATTAAGGAAGAACCCATGGCAATAGATGTGCAAATGATTGCTACTAAAAACTTGCAGAATAATTGTAATTGGTTAACTCAAGACAAGGTGCTGCAGCAACTAAAGAAAGTTAATATAAACAAAGCTCCAGGGCCTGACGGTATCCATCCACGTGTACTTAAGGAACTAAGTGCAGAAATAAGTGAACCTCTGTTTTTAATCTTTCAAGATTCTTTTCTTTCAGGAAGTGTTCCGGAGGATTGGAGGAAGGCAGATGTGGTTCCTATATTCAAAAAGGGTTCAAAATCCTTGCCTGGAAATTATAGACCTGTGAGCTTAACTTCTGTGGCTGGTAAAATATTTGAAAGGTTATTAAGGGATAATATTCAAGAATTCCTTGAGAAGAACATGGTTATCAGCAAAAATCAGCATGGTTTTATGAAGCACAGGTCATGTCAAACTAACTTGATTGCGTTCTACGAAGAAGTAAGTAGAAGTATAGATCAGGGTGTTGCCGTGGATGTGATCTATTTGGATTTTGCCAAGGCATTTGATACAGTTCCACACAATAGATTAGTGTTCAAACTCAAGGAAATCGGTCTAGATGAAAATGCTTGTTCTTGGGTAGAACATTGGCTTAAAAACAGAGTACAAAGAGTTGTCATTAATGGTAAATTTTCAAGCTGGACAGAGGTGGCAAGTGGTGTCCCTCAGGGGTCTGTTCTGGGACCCCTTCTATTTAACATGTTTATAAATGATCTTGAAGACCGCATTGAAAGTCATGTTTCAGTGTTTGCAGATGACACCAAACTTTGTAAAACAATACAATGTGAGCAAGATATTACTTTGCTGCAGAGGGATTTAGATAGACTGGGGGACTGGGCACTCAAATGGCAGATGAAATTTAATGTTGAAAAATGCAAAGTTATGCACTTCGGCGTAAAGAATACACAAGCAACGTATACCCTTAATGGAAGCGAATTAGGGATAACAACACATGAAAAGGACTTGGGAATTGTTATAGACAACAAACTATGCAACAATGTGCAATGTCAATCAGCAGTGGCCAAGGCCAGTAAGGTATTGTCATGCATGAAAAAGGGCATTCATTCTCGGGACAAGAATATAATTTTGCCTCTTTATAAATCACTGGTAAGACCCATATTGAATATGCTGTGCAATTTTGGGCACCTGTTCTAAAGAAGGATATTATGGCACTAGAAAAAGTGCAGAGGCGGGCTACAAAATTAATAAAAGGAATGGAACATATCGGCTATGAAGAAAGGTTAACAAATTTAAACCTATTTAGTTTAGAAAAACGTCGCCTGAGAGGGGATATGATAACATTATACAAATATATTCGGGGCCAATACAAACCATTGTGTGGAAATCTATTCACAAACCGGACTTTACATAGGACACGAGGCCATGCGTTTAGACTGGAAGAAAGAAGATTTCGTCTAAGGCAAAGGAAAGGTTTTTTTACTGTAAGAACAATCAGGATGTGGAATTCTCTGCCTGAGGAAGTGGTTTTATCAGAGTCCATACAAATGTTCAAACGGCTACTAGATGCATACTTGCAAGAACAGAATATTCAAGGATATAATCTTTCAATGTAGGGTAATAACTGCTTGATCCAAGGATAAATCTGACTGCCATTCTGGGGTCAAGAAGGAATTTTTTTCCTAGCTTGTTGCAAAATTGTGCTTCAAACTGGGTTTTTTTTGCCTTCTTTTGGATCAACAGCAAAAAACAAATGGAGGAAGGCTGAACTTGATGGACGCAAGTCTCTTTTTAGCTATGTAACTATGTAACTATGTATCACCCTCAGACTAATGGCGCAGCAGAGAGGGCCAATCAGTCTTTAGAATCTTATTTACGTTGTTTTATCGATGCCAATCAGTCTAACTGGTACGAACTCTTACCCATGGCTGAGTTTGCAAGAAATAATGTGACTCATGAATCCTCTAATCATACTCCATTTTTTGTAAGTCAGGGTTATCACCCCACTGTTTTACCTTCTGAATTTTCAAACACTGATATTGCTGCCTTGAATACCCGTTTGGATTCTATTCACACTTGGGATTCTGTTCATACAGCACTACAGAAGGCATCAAAACATGCTAAAATCCAAGCTGACAAGAGACTGGGTGCCAATCCTGTCTATCAACCAGGAGACAAGGTGTGGTTATCCACACGTCATGTCAAACTTAAGGTTCCTTCCATGAAATTTGCCCCTCGGTACATAGGTCCTTTTCGGGTCCTCCGTCGTATCAACCCTGTGACTTATTCATTGGCACTTCCTGCTCAGATGAGAATTGCCAATTCATTTCATGTG